CGCTCTCATCTCGCTGAACTATGCCATGATTATGTTTTCTTTTCAGTGACAGGTCTTGTATATTTACCTAAGAAGCTAAATAATAAGATATTAGATTAATAATTATAATAGAACCCCAAAGGTAAAGGGAAGTATGAGATCTTGTATAGCAAGCAGAATCTGAAATAAGAGTTAGATTCATTTTTGTTAAGTTAGAAATTTATGTTACGCTATTCTTGTTGGAATTAGATTTTTGTTGATACTTGATAGATTTTTATCACAGTTTATTTTTATAAATAATATTTATATTGGTCCAATTAAGAGAAGTCAGAATTTCAAATGAATTTTCAATTCATAGATATTTTATTGTAATTGAAAGATAAAAACTTAAAGCCAACTTTTCAGAATTTTAATTTTAATTAAAATACTCAATGTATAATTTTAATTGAAATTTGATGAAATATTAGCACCCAACCCCTCAAATATCGAAAAGCTCAATCATATTTCTAAACAAAATATATTATGAATTGATAACAAAAAAGATTAAAAGTTAGTTTGAATACCATTTTATTATAAAAAAATAATATATTTTGTGTTAAAAAGAACTTGTGAGAAACTTTACAATATCTAGTATAACTCTTTAAGTGCAAAACTAATCAATAAATGAGTAGCGCAGTATAATTATTTACCAAACATAAAAATATTTAATATTGCAAAATAAGCTCATGCAAAAAAATCGAATATTAAAGAAATATCTGACCTATATTGTGATAAATTATTAGAACTATGCATTAAGTATAAATCATAATTTTTTAAGAAATTTGTAAATAATTACCTAACTGAATATCCCATCATCAGTAATAAAAAAATTAACAAGATTATAATTCTTTTTTCAAATTTTTCAAATTTTTCGATAAGTTTATGTTGATAATCAAATTGATAATTCTTTCTTAATAAAAAGTATGCCAGAATATCAGTTGCCATTTCATTGACACTTGTAAATAAAATACTAGCTGAAGACTTTGAAGACTTTGCACATTTCGAACTATTGAATGAGTATCTTTTTTGGGATGATGTTACAATAATACCCATGGTATTTTGTGGATAGGCTTCAACTATTTTTTCAAATTGCTTAATATTACCAACTGTAACTATATCATTGCAATATACCAAGATAAAATCATTGTTATAAGATC